CTCTTAATTTCTTCCCTCTAACCATTTTCTGGCATCAAGAACATCCCTGTCTCGGGCTGGAGCCCTCTACTTGTAGACTTCTCCCCTGGATGATAATCAGAGAAATCGTCATCTGCCGCTCCTGTCGGCTCAATGCAGCATAGATGGAATGGGAACCACATGAAAAGACCCTGCGGGGATGAGAAAGCATGACCGAAGGGAAAATCGATGGTGTTAAGAAGCGGAATCCGCATGAAAGGTTGTCTCTGAGTGACCGGCAATGGGCTGTTCTTCAATATGCTGATGCAGTGACGTGATGCCACAGAGAATTTTTGACCAGCTTAAGGAGGTCGGGGTTTGGACTCAAAGGATTGTGGAGATTACAGCCACGTGGCGGCGATGAATTTTATCTGCCGTTTTGTGCTTGCGTTGGATCTTAGTGAAGGTATTGCCGAGACGCGGGCTGGTTTAGAGAGGGAGTGGAACTGTGCGATAGGGGTAGCTTGGTTAGCCAGTTACTGGCATTTATATTCCAAAACATATATCTACATATACATGGTTGGGATTAAAAGTTCCAAATCAGTCTTGGGTTGAATATATATTGATATAAGGTAATGATTTCTATGCCTTTTCTCTAGATTCCCAAGAGAAAGTCTATCATGCATCGGTGGAGCTCTCCAACGCTAGCCCGAACAGTTTCCCCTCAGCAGGGGCATGATTTCTTTCTAAATCTTCTCCCGGTCAATGATAGCAGAGGGCCAGTCATTATAGTTTTCGTCCGGGGTTTTGTACGGCCCATAATGGACAGTGTTGTCGCGAGTATTGCCGGAAAGGGGGATCCCATGCCTGATTCGCGAGATAATATCCTACATTATACCATCATATGATTAGGCCAGATCCACGAACAGAAAACCCCCTCCACCACCTTTGGGGATGATACTCACAGGATTGTAGATGAAGGGTCTGCCAAATGTGATCAAGTCCAGTTTCCCTTCTTTGACGAGGCGATCGGCTTCCTCTAAGGTGTAGTCATGGTTGGCCATGAGCATTGAAGGGCTGCCGGGAAACTTGACAAGAGGCCCAAAATCCAAGACAGGGTCATAGCCAAGAGGCAAAGGGTACTCGGTTGGCCGGGGAATATGGCCAAAGAAGTCACCTGTGCCGCCGTTGTGATCAATACCACGACGGGACAGATTGATGATCCCAACCTTGCGTGTGACCAACTCTTTGATCAGGTACGTGTATGTCTCTTTCATCTCCTTGAAAGTGACCACCGAGTCGTTTAAGAAATCAGTGGGGTTGAGCTTCACACAGGCATACTCAGGCCCGCCAAATATTTCGCTGATGACGTCGACGACCTCCAGAATGAAGCGGCATCGGTTCTCAACTGAACCGCCGTAGTTATCAGTTCGCTTGTTGGCTCGGCTGTACTGTGGGTTAGCATGCGACAGTTCCTTGCGAACACAGAGAGTATTATAACTCACGTATTCAAAAATTGCTGGGGCAGATATCCACTGAGAAAAAGGAAGAAGAGAGCGGGGTTAGTATTAAGCTTGTTCCTTCCATGCTATGTCCAGAGAACACCCACCCTTGAGCCAGGAGCTCCGAGCCATCAAACCCTGCCTTTTTGGCTAGCTGCAGTGAGCGGCGGAACGTTTCCACAACATCCCGCGGGTTCTCAATAGCCACAACATTCTCTGTGTGTCCCTGTTCCTCGACTCAGTCGTATGCGCTTAGGGAAAAGGGGTATGGTGAAATCGTACAGGCGCACCTGGTAGGTCGCGGTATTTCCCCGCATCGGCCTTAATGCTAGATGGAGCAAGCACTCGGCCCCCCATCTTCTTCATGACCGGCATTTGATCATGCTGGCACCGACCTATTTCATTTTGCGGGTTATGAAGCTTGTCAAAGGGCGTCATGATGGATGGGTACCTACCTGCATGCCAGGCTTGGAAGAAGATCTTGCCCCCTTCCTTGTGGACTGCATCAGTGACTACTCGCCAGGCTGCCGCGTGGTCATCTGTGATCATAAAGGGGGAATACTTCCAGTCACAGCCCGTCCAGTCAACAAAGGTGCCTTCGTTCACAATTAGGCCGGTTCCGTCTCGCGCTCTGTCGGCGTAGTGGGTGACCTGGGCTGGCCCTGGCTTATAATCATCCACACAGCGATTGCGGGTCATGGAACCCATGACAACGCGGTTTCGCAGAGGGAGCTTTCCGCCGATGGTGACAGGTTCTAGGAGACTCGACATGGTGGTGAGGATGGAGGGGGGATTTTGATCGAGATCTGAGTTTGAATTTTGATGCTGGGGAAGGGGATGTCCATATTTATACGGTGGAAATACTAACAACTCCAGCATAGAAGGAGTACTACTATACTCCAACAATGGAGGAAAGGATGAATCGCTGAGTGGAGTACTTATACTAACTAGCTAACTTCGTTAACTAGTTGATTTGAAGAAGCCAATTCGGTAAGCTCAATCCCGATCGCTGCGGCTTATTCCGCCAATTGGAACCTCTCAATCCCGAGCGAGCCTGTTTTGCTCCACTGGATCAATTCTCTCTCTTTCTCCCACTACAGTGTCTCAAGCAGAGAAAGATGAAGGCTGCAAGTGCGTGTCTCCAATGCCGGGAATCCAAGCGCAAATGCTCCCGTCCGGCACCTGGTGAACCGTGCCATTCTTGCCACCAGAGAAAGCTGCAGTGTGATGGCCGGCTCCAACCTCGACTAGTGGCGAACGAAGCTCCGGCGGCTGTTGCTGCTGCACTGCCGATCGACAACCTGCCTTGGGAGACAACCCTGGAGCTCGTCGAAATTTACCTTGACAAAGTTCACGACCGACCGCATAGCATATTTCATCCAGCAACACTGTGGACGCAGCTGCGCAACGGCTCTGTGAGTGGAGCGTTGATATGTGCTATATGTGCTATTGGCGCCAAATTCTCCTGCCGTTCCAACCGCCGCAACCTTGAGCTTCATCTAACTACGGAAGCAAAGCGGCTGCTAAAGGCAGACCTCGAAAATGCCTGCCTCGAGAACATACAGACATGCATTTTGCTCTCCACCCTAAGCGCGGGGAACTGTGAAACTTCCTCCGAGGCATTATACATCCGTAAGAAATCTCCATCTTCTGAATCCATTCGCGGGCACCTATATATCTAATATGGGTCCAGGGATTGCCACCAGCATGGCCGAGATAATACACCTTCAAACGTATACTTTGAGGGGTCCCATCATTGCCCGTGAAACCGCACGAAGAATCTGGTGGTCTCTCTACATGGCAGATCGCTGGTGCTTTTCAGGACTGGGTTTACCCCGTCATATGGATGACCTTGGAGGGTCCCTTCAGCTCCCCTTGGATGAACTCACCTTCCGCTCACTTCCCTCAGACCAAGAAACGTTTAATGTTCCCTGGAAACCAGGCCTCTGGGCCCACATGGTCACTCTTGTCCGCCTGTTTGGCCCAATCCAGGACCTGAACCGCCGTGCCGCCAAAGCCGAAATAGACACCGCCGAACTGGACCAGGCTGTTGTAAGTCTCGGCCAGCAACTTGAGATGTGGAGCGGTATGCTTCCAGTGGACATCCAGTTTACAATTCAGAACCTCCACGGCCACCAGCATAACCGGTTAGGCGGGCCATTCGTGACCCTGCATCTCGCGTATCATCATTACTCGACGCTACTTTACTTCCGATTTCTGGAGGACAAGCAGGCTTCGTTATCTACAACGTACGGCACGTATGTTGCTCGCTGCAAGCACCATGCTTCCTCCTTTAGCAGCCTTCTCCACCTCTCACGTCAGCTCAAGGGGTGCGAGGCTAGCTACGCCATCATTGGCCACATGACTGCCGTCTCCTCATCCGTGCTACTACACACCATGCTCTTTGGAAACCCCGAAGAACTACCCCAAGCGAAGCGAGAACTCAGCACAAACTTCGAGGCCCTTATAGAGCTTCAGCAATATTGGCCCGCCACGTCCGCAATGGTATGTACGATCATCTCAACTCAAAATCCAAGCAAAATGAGTGACACAATTTCTTTTCCCCCAATCGCTCTCGGCCTATGTATATGTATCTAAACTTACGATTGTATTGTAACATGCAGATCAATCGACTGATGGCATTCCAAGATATCTGCCTCTTATCCTCAACCGAACCCCACAAACTGGACGGGTGGATGGTGAGGTTCCTCTTAGAACACTCTCTCGCTCTCGAGAAAAGAGAGTTGCCTTTTGGGCCGCTGAATGGGGAGATACTAGAGGCCGAAAGTATGTCATCCAGGGTCAAGGCATGGATGGAACTTGGTAGGTATACGAGTTTTGAGAACTTTTTGACTTAACACAATTGATAAAAACAAAAACCAAACAAACAAAAAAAATAAAAAAAAAAATTAAGTCAAACCTATCGCATTCGATCAGGGTACCCAGCTTTCCCAAGCTAAACCGTGGAGTATTAGCTGAGCCGCTTCGAAGGATTACAAAAAGGTTCGGGAATTAGGCAGTCCATAAATCCAGCTACACATTGATCAAGTGTGCTGAAAACCTGCATCGTCTAGTCTAGAGCTAGTAGGAAATCACTATTGTAAGGGTCAAATTAGGTCAGTACCAACCATATTGTAAACATGCCACCCGTGCCGGGTATGGGAGCGAATTTTTGTACTTGACATAGAGGTCCGCGGACCTTCACATCAAGTCATAATGATACTGAAGCTTGGATGAGGTGGCGGCAGCGGAGTGGAACCAAGCAAAGTTAAAGCACGGACATTCAAAAGAGGAGTTTCGGACTTTTCCAGGAGTTTAGAATCCAGCCGAATATACCACCTTTGAATGTCTGATACCGTAACTATCTACATCCTGGATCATTAGTGTTTCCTCCGCAGTTATCACCACATATATCACTGAGCAAAAAAGGCCCAACCCCAAAATTTCGCCACCCTACGAGGCAATCTCACCATTGCAGCCTGAGCTCTGTCAGGCTGGCAAGATGGTTCTAATCACAGGGGACAACAGTGGTATCGGCTACGCCGCCGTGCGCGCCTTTGGCCTGGCTGGTGCAGCTCGGGTCATCATCACCAGACGTCGCACTGAGGCGACCGCTACCACTGCCGACTCGCTGGCTAAGGAGCTCATAGAAAAGGGTCGTAAGAGCGGCAGCACTGATTTCATCGGCGTGGAATCTGACTTAAGCACGACCACCTCTGGGCTGACCTCAAGGCCAAGGGCATCACCCTTGACGTGCTGAGCCTCGCAGATCGTGGCACTGACAAGATTTGGGAAGAGCTCAACGTTAATGTCCTGGCTCAACTGCAGATCATGGAGAAATTTTACAAGCAGCTAGGTCAGGGCGGGTCTGCTACTATAGACTAGTCTAATATTCCGTCCTTTATAACAAGCACAAGCTGCTCTTTATTATTCTTACACGACAAATCGCTGACAGCACATTCATCAACAGTATGTCCTGACGGTGGCCGCCCCCGCCGTCCATGGTCGAGACATCCGTGAATATTACCCCTCGTACGCTCTCGCCAAGACTGCTCAGGCACTGGCATTGCAGATCTATGCGTCGAAGGTCGCACCTGAGCAGATGCAGATTTATCACCTTCAGCCCAGGATCTGTCTTGACTGAGAGCGCAGAGGCGCAAGGTTTCGAAGTCGATGAAGACTGGGTTTGGCCGCCATGTTAAGTGGACATACATCGTAACCCTTGTGGTACGATGAGAGTTTGCGCTAATGTTGTTGATTTGGTGTGTTTAGTGGATCTGCCCGGCCAGTTCGCCGTGTGGGCGGCTTCGCCAGAAGCTCAGTTCCTCCATGGGCGTCTTGTCTGGTGTGAGTGGTATGTGGACGAGCTCAAGACCGGCGACATCCGGCAGAAGATCGGCGAGGATCCCGACTTCCTGCAGGTGGGCGTCAATCAGTTCTAGAAATCCTCAGGCAGGTATTAGCTTTTTGAGTGTTGAGAGTGTCAGCCGCGAAGGGATTGCCAGCTCTGGCAGCCTACAACAAGATAGACTGTCGACGGAGTGATAAAGTTCCTGACCAATGCCCCTGATGTCAACTTTGCTGGACTTCTACCTGAAATTTATGTCCGAAGTTACCACTTATCTCCCAGTATATGTACACAAACACTTGTGAGACCCCTACGAAGTGTATTGGTACTTCTCAAACAACCCTAGCAAGCCAGGTTCCTTGTTATTATTGTATAGCCTAGACTTTGTCCGATTATATCAGCTCTATTTGCCCCATGGCCGTTGGTGTAAAATCTTTAAAGGTCTTGTTGCAAAAGTAATACGTATTGTCTTTGGTTCCAGAATGGTTATATCCCCGCTCCTAAAATTACTCTTGTTCTTAGTTTATAGAGCCATTTGATTACTTGCGCGGGTTGGCGCCCAAAGCGGGATAGACGGACATGAGCAGTCTCACCCCGGCGCAGCATGATACACCTACTAAAGTTATCATAAACACGAACGGCTAAGAAATACTCATCATTTGCGCTTCCATCCTAGAGCCTCGATCTTCTAATTCCTCAATGGCTACAAATTAGCAACGAGACTTCACGTTTTGCAAGCCCTCGAGGCTGCCCGGTGATCCTGGGAATTCTCGGTCGGAAAATTGGTCTCAATGATCTCTACGCAAGTGTACATGAATCGTTGAGCTTTGTGTTGGTTCTGTCTCTTGATCTGATTATTTCATTTCCTCTCCACATTTAATTTGGTGCGTGGATAGGATATCGTGTCAGGGTGAATGCGTCGGATTAGTTTCTTCTACTATGTACCTTTGGAATAATAGTGAGACAGCAGAATTTCATTCTCTCAACTATATTAGCAGATGAGGCTTTCAACAAGCCTAGCTGTCTTATGGGGTCATGATTATCCTGGTTTTGTCAACTGATTTATTTTCGAGGCAACACAGAATGTAATGTAGATGTAGCCTTTTCTTTTCTTTCTTTCTTTCTTTCTTTCTTTCTTTCTTTCTTTCTTTCTTTCTTTCTTTCTTCTTTCTTCTTTCTTCTTTCTTCTTTCTTCTTTCTTCTTTCTTCTTTCTTCTTTCTTCTTTCTTCTTTCTTCTTTCTTCTTTCTTCTTTCTTCTTTCTTCTTTTTTCTTTCTTCTTTCTTCTTTCTTCTTTTTTCTTTTTTCTTTCTTCTCCCGCCATGCATTGCCAGTATTATCTGCAAAGCTAAAGTCAGCCTTGAATGTCCAAAAAATTAGAAGGATTTCTGCAAGATGAACTAGATATCTCGAGGCTGGCCATAAATCGCATGACATGAGATAGCTGCACGTTTTCCATTGCAACGAGAACCGACACTCATGTTCACGGTATACATTAGACTTTTCCTAAGGTTCAATGATGAAGCTTGGCTTGTTGGGGTGGATTTCATACGGCAAATTTGTTCATGCTTGGGTTTGGAAAATCCACCAATCTGGCTTCACGAACAGTGACGGAGGAGAGTAAAAAGCCGGTAGCAATTTAGGGACGGAGTTTGGTCGGCGAGGAGGAATTTGAATTTAATGAAGTTGGGCCCACAAGGCTCAAACATGTCCGGAGTTCTGGAAAGCCCCTGTCTCAGAGCTTTCAGGAAGCTGAGGAATTCTGACATTTCCTTCAAATTTGCCAAGCCAAAGTGAAGCTCCTACTTTAGTATTTGCTAAAATTACGATGAACATCATATCTAGGAGGGATTAGGTCTACTCTTTTGTTGAAATAATTGTGGTAATCTTTTGCTCTAATTAAGAGGAAGTTGAGTGAGGAGAAAATTGGAGGAGTTGGGCCCACTAGCCCTAAAGAAGCTTCTTTAATAGCCGGACAAATTACTTAAACGTTCTTAGCCATTTCACATAGAGTTCTCTATGTTCTGAGGAAACCCCACCGGTGTCTCCACTAGGAGGTCCTGATCGATATCAATCAATAGACCATGATGGATCATCCGTGAGACATGCTTACCTATAAAGATGGAGTATCATCGCGCTCTCTAGTCCCCCCATCAACAGCAAACTTAGATTTGCCGATCATTTCCACGTAACAACCATGGTGAAATCACTTTTAGTGTCAGGTCTCTTTGCTGCGACGTCCCTGGCCGCGAGCCGCATGACAGCTCCTGCCGGTGCGATCGTCGTTGCCAAGTCTGAAGGTGATTATGACACGGTAAGCATGTTGGAATCGCAGATCAAACACCTTTAGATATGCTCTGACGAACTGTCACTGGGAAGCTTGGCGCGGCCGTTAATGCCCTGAACACCACCGAGACTGCGACGCAGACCATCTTCATCGAGGAGGGTACCTACGACGAACAGGTGTACATCCCGTCGTTGGCTGGAAAGCTGATCATCTACGGTCAGACAGAGGAGTATGCTTGGGACATTTTATACTAAGTAGCAAAGAACCTTATCAACTAACAATACATTTCTAGCGACACCACCTACACTGGCAACCTTGTCAACATCACCCATAATATTAAGTTGGCTGACGTCGCTAATGATGACGAGACCGGTGGGCACCCCATCATGCACTCTAGCCTATGTTATTCCCATGAACTTACGGTAAAGATAGCTACCATTCGCAACCACTCTCCCAACTCGTCCATCTACAATCTCAACATTATCAACTCTTGCGGCCAAGTCTGCCACCAAGCCTTGGCCGTGAGCGCCTACGGCAATGGCCAGGGATACTACGGATGCCAGTTCACTGGATACCAGGGTAAGCAACAGAAAAAATGGAGGAAAAAAGAGCTCTGGAGTACTGACCCTCCATTAAATAGATACCCTTCTCGCCCAGAGCGGAAATCAGGTCTACGCCCACACCCTCATCGAAGGTGCCGTGTATGTCTCCCTGCACTCTTTCTCCCGACCGCAAGAAAATAACTTACACCCATTTGTGAATCCAGTGACTTCATTTTCGGCCAGCACGCCCGTGCCTGGTTCCATGATTGCGACATTCGTGTCCTGAAGGGCCCCAGTTCTGGCTATATAACCGCCAACGGCCGCTCTTCTGAGACTGACTCGTCCTACTACGTGATTCATAAGTCCTCCGTCGCTGCCGCTGATGGCAATGATGTCCCCTCGGGCACCTACTACCTCGGTACGTTGTACTCTTATCAGAACAGTACCCCCACGCGTCATGTTTTATTAACAACCTATATTACAGGTCGCCCCTGGTCTCAGTATGCCCGCGTTCTCTTCCAGAAGACTTCCATGACTGATGTGATTAACTCTGCTGGTTGGTCTGAATGGTCGACTACCCAAGCTAACACTGAGAATGTTACCTTCGCTGAGTATGGTAACACCGGCGCTGGAGCAAAGGGTACACGTGCTAGTTTCTCCGAGAAGCTGAGCGAGCCGGTTTCTATCTCAACCATTTTGGGCTCTGATTGGACACAGTGGGTTGATACTAGTTATATCAACTAAGTATCTTCGATACTTAAACGAGGAGGAGAGGATATTAGGATAATTTTGGCCATGTCTACTATGGTTGATCTTTGATAGTAAGTAGAGTTTGATGTGGATATGTAAATAATAATTTTGTTTCAAATGGCTTGCAGTAGGCCCATTCTCTTGGATTCGTTTTAATGTCATGATGCTCTTCTACATATGGAGACGTACTGGAAACGGAGATTCCAAGTAAATTACAGCTATTTAATAAGCCATCAAGTGTTGTTTTTGAATGGAGAGGATGTTGGTAGTCTCTATAATATACTGTTACGTCCGCATCTGGAGCAATACCCTTCATTCAGCTCTCCTGGATGTTTGGCCCTAATAGGTACTAGTCATGACCGACAGCCGACCGCCATCAGTGACATGAACAGAACCATTTGTAAAAATTACCAGCCCGGCTAGCAAGGTACAAAATGGCACCCGTCATTTCCTCATCCCCACCGAATCGCCTAGCGGGGATAAACCTCTGGTTGTCGAAAAGTTTCTTCTTCAGGGTTGCGGTCTTGAGTAAGCACGGAAGCCAGATTAGAAGGATAGACTGTAAAAATGCCTAGTCAACCTTCAGACTCAAACATTTAATGTGATAACAACAAGGGTCACTTACTTCCCGGAGCGATAACATTCACACGAATACCAGACCTCGTCAATTGAGTGCTAGCCTGTTTAGCCACCTGCATGATAGCAACCTTGCTGGCTAAGTACGGGGGCAAGGACGAATAATGTTGACTGAAGGCCGAGATACTGGTAGTGAAACTGACCTGGCTCTGGGTCGACGGGACATCACTGCCCTCTCTGACGGGCTTTCCGAAAACGCCTTGCAGCGCGTTTCTGGTGCCAGCGTCGAGCAACCCGAGGAATGCGGTCATGGTGAAGAAAGCGGCTGTGATGTTGAGATGTAGGGTGTAGTTCATTTCATCCATGGAGAAATTGGTGAATAGGGTCTGGCGCGGCTCTGAAAGAGAAGCGGCTGGGTTGTAGCATGCTGGAGGTCCGATACTGCCAGAGTTGGCGATGACGAGGTTCACGTATCCTACCTCGGTCGTAATGCGGTCTACGGCAGATTGGAGATTTCTTTCGATGTCACGTTGCACTGGTGTGGGATTAGACTGGGGTGCTCCTTGGCTGCCGTTTGAAGCACTTCCAGTCGGCGGCCCAAGATGTACACTTTCCGTGCGCCGTTGAATGCGAGGGCTCGTGCCATGGTTAGACCAATACCTGCAGGGCAAAGTGGTGGGTTTAGTAATAGCCATTTCGTAACGGATATAATAAATGATACTGACCACTACCTCCACCAGTTATGAAAGCCACCAAACCATCGACACGGAAAATGGTGCTTGAGTCAATTGGGGATGCTATTGCTTTATGACAAACTATCCCGGAGGTTCAATTCGTTGATTCGATTGATTATCTTGCTTGGTTCTATCAACATGACTGTGGGAAAGAAATCGCTTAGGAAGAACAACAGCGCTAGGCCTAACTAGGCCGCGTCAACACTTTACGCTGAGAAGACTTCGAGTTTCTTTTAGAGGCTATGTCACGGGAGGCGAAGACAAAGACGCTGATGAGCGCTGTGACCTTCGTGTCGGGCCTTAAAGCTTATATACGGTCACGTACCACCTAATTCTGGCGAGGGAAATCAGTGTTAGTACGGAGACATAACTGATAAGCCGAGCTTTAGGTATTGAAATAAACCTGAACAGAACTAGTAACCTACTGACAGGCCCATGGCCTCCTACCAAGTATGTTTATCCAGTTTTACTGGGATACCTGGTAAAGTATAGCTTACGGCGGCCGACACCAAGTGAATTTCAATGATTAACTGTAGGACGGCAGTTGTTCTATGGCGCATACGTTCCCCACCTACAGATCCCGACGGCGGCCGACAATGCTTAGTGTAGGTTGTAGTTCGATGTATGTCAATTTGCTTTAAATGCACATCTATCTACATAGAGGCCAAATCAACTGGGTTAGTCAAGCACTCTGGCCACATTGGGAAGTGTAAAGCGATGTGATTACGTGAACAAGAATTGTTCAGCACATATCTCAGGCATCAGCATGGCTTATACAGGAGCCACTGAACACGTAGGTCAGATACACAACTATTACAGTCTGGCAGTACAACTTAGGCACTAGTTATGAATATGCCTGCCCCTGCACCCTCTTTGCCGATATATGTCATATGCTACTTCAGCTAGACATTCTTCACTCCATTATCTTCAGTCGACCATAGTGGGCCCATACGGTACTTACGAGGTAAAAGTTGCCAGAAAACAACGCTAAATAAGCCCAGACAGCAACCCTAGTACTAATGTGGCATGTTTAATTCTGGCAGCTTCGATGGCTTACGATTATAAAAGGATTATGAATACTTTACATTTAGAGCATTTCCCCAAAGTGGAAGTTTTCAGACTAATCTTGTAGTAGAAATGCAAGGTGTCAGCATTGGCTTGTTCTCGACAATGTAACGCTCGTATAGGCGTCATTTTTCAATAGCGAGTGTCGGTATACCCTTAATAAAATCCATACAAAACCGACTAGAACATAATTGATTCAGTTCCTGTATCCAAGTTAAGGGATACATACGGGGTATATGAATGCATTCGTGAGTTAGGAATTAGTAGATCTAAAACGACTGGAAAGAAACTAGATGCCATTCCAGGGCACTGCGTACAGGTGAATCTTCAGCTCAGTGAGATTTTAGCTCCATTTCGGCTAACTCCGTTTTTCTTCAGAAAGTCTACTATTATTTAATCGATGCCCCACACGGCTCAGGATTGTCCTAGGTATAAAAACGGTCCATTTACCTTCAACTTAACTGAAACAAATCTGCTCATCCTGTTAAAACAGTGTACTTTTATACCCAAAATGAAGTCTGCCCTATTCAAGGTAAACCCCACACACCATGATCCCTCCCGTGCTTGCGCCTAACAGATCTTCAACAGTCGTTGGCTTTTCTCCCAGCCCTCTCCGTGGGAGCAATGGCTACTCCGCTTGTCTCCTACGCAGGCTATGTTTATGAGAACTGCACTGGTCCCAGCATCACAGCTACCAATATTGCGGTATCCTATTGTGCAAATGTGGAAGATATTCCGATCAAGTCTTTCACCGCGTATGTATTTTCCGGGGCTTGCGACGATTCTAAATCTCCTGTGTTGAATGTCTACACCGGGGCGAATTGCGGGTCTGGATTGTTTCAGACTGTGGCCGTGGGGAGTGAGAAGCAGTGCTTCGAGGCGGATACCACGATTGTGAGCTTGGGGGTTGAGTGTGTTTGATATAGATCTGCATGCTGTATGTCCTCATGTATTGATGATAAGGGTACTGGGGTGTGTGACTACTTGGAAAAGAATTTTCATGGAAAGCCAATATGAACCTTAAAGGAATGCTATGGAGCTTTTATATCCAATTGTACAAAGGTACACGGTATCTACAGAGCATATCTGTCTGTTAAACAACAAGTAGGACGCAAATAGAATCAATAAAATCAACCGGCGATATCTCAAGCGCTCTCTTCCCACCCAACGTCAATTTGATATCAAGTCGCAAAATACTAAAACAAAAGCTGACCAGTTACGCATCCACACATCATACTATGTCCGACTCAAGCTGCCTGGCAGAGCAATGAACCTATCTAGCTTTTCCACTGTCCAGCATTCTCCACCCCTCTCGCAACCCTGTTTGCTCCGTCTTCGACTCCCGTTCCAATACCTCCCAGTCCATCACCCAACGGCTTCCCGGCACTTCCTGTAGCGCTCGTAATGGTATCACCGAGACCTCGAGTAGCAGCACCTGTGACCCCACCGACAGTGCGAGAGACGCCTCCGACCGTGTTTCCGAGCGTCGAGGTTACGAATTTGGCGGCACCAGTGACGCCGCTGTCTTGGGAGGAGGAAAAAGTGTTGTTCGGCATGATGCTGGTGTTTCTTGATTTTGAGATTTTCTTCTTTGGCTTGTGCGTGACGTTTAAGGAACAGGTAAATAAGAGGTAATGGATATGAATATGTATATGAATGTTGCTTGTTTGTTTGAATGTTGCATGGATTCGGGCGCGCTTGATCCTTCTTATCTTATCTTGGATCGCAGATTTATGATGTCATTATCATGGGCCCTGACGTTGGTGGCGGTCTTTTATAATTACGACTACTGAGTAAACATTTAATGTAAACAGACAGATTACCAAGGGCTTTCAATAGGCCACGTCCTGTCTGAGAGACCCAAGTCTCTCCATCTTCACGATGATGGAGTTGAGGACGACCGTGCTCATGTTCATGTCTTGTCAGCAGGTATTAAGCCACTTATTGCTTCCATACTGCTAGTGAATTCTCATAGAGGAACAGATCTGAGTACAATGAGCCCAATAGTACCTCATATCTACCAGTAGTAATCATTCCAATTCACTATACATATCCCAACAGCCCACATCAACACATACCACCAACGACCCGGCAGAACGTGGACACCATCATTCGGCACCCATGCAAGAGTCTGGTTGCCTGACTGAATGTTCAACACCTTGGTAGAATTGATACTATCAACTTGCCCCGAAAAGATCACACTGAATTCGATATGCAACTCATCCTCGGTACCTCTATAGTTTTTGTAATCGGAGGAGGTGTTACCCGAACCAGCAAATCTGAGATCCAGGGTAGTGTTCGTCACGGATCCATTCAAGATCGTCGCAGAGGGCCAACCCATGTGTATCCCGTATGACGAACAAGTACGCCCAGGGAGACGAATTAAGCCCTCACCTCCATCGATCGCCGGTTTCGGGTCAGAAGCCGTAGTAGCATTGAAACGAACGGTGGCCGATTGAGTTGAATCCGTAGAGACATTCATGATCATCACATCCGAGGCACCAGACGTATGAGCTGTAAAGTCTATCCAACCTCTAGTCGTAGCGATCCGAACAAGATCCGGTTCCATAGGGCAAACGCTAGTCTCTGTCCATTTAACTGGTTTATAGGCGGTGTGGATCTCGTTGACTGGCTGGTCGGATTCCCATGCCTTGAACCCAACAATGAAGGGGTTTAGGGGCCCCGTAGGATATGGCGGTTGTGGTCCAACCCAGGCGTATCCTAGGATCCGAAGCTGCCCGTTTGCGCCACGACATCGCGATCCACCGGTGATGTTATAGGAAAAATATCCTTCTCCCTGGAAGTAAGTCCCGTCGTACACTGTTGGGCTAGCATCCGCGGATCTGCTGCCTTGGGATGTCCAGTTCCAGGCATTGTTAGGCACAACGTACGTCGTGCTAAGAAGGTTGTTTGTGGTTCCGCATCCTGATGAGCCTGAACTGCTGCCGCTTCCACCACTGCTGTCACTGTCGCTGTCGTTGTCGCTGTCAGAATCGCCTCCCCCGCCTCGCCTGGCTAGGGACCCGCCGCTGAAGATAGAGAAAAGGAGCAGGAACTGGGTGAGAAAGGGTTGGGGCACCATTAAGACGGGGCTATGCCATATATACTGCCGGGCAGGCTAGACATTACGGAGTGAAAGGAGGAAAAGGTTCGTCGCGACAGGAATGGGTCGAAGCGTAGATCGCTAATTTATAAACAGAGATATGTAAAGACTGCCAAGTGCCCAACCTCGTATTGTTTGGGTCAGGCTCTACAAGACCACATTATCCATTGGCGGGTGGGTTTTTTGAAGGAAATGAGGGTTTGGACTAGACATATTAGGCGACCTTGGCAGAGAAAGACCTACTATAGTTGGCTGAGGGAGTTGATGATAAGCCACATTTCAAACGGAATGAGTTAGGACGTCGCTACATAGCCTCATTGGGCTTTGGTGTTATGACAGACATTTAGAATCTATTTCACTAATCTTGCCTTGTCTCTTCTACCTACGCATACTCGGCAACACCTCCAGGATGAGTTTGTGGCAACAAGCTCCAGTACGGAGACTTCTCAGCACTTTCAGCAGCAGTTTTCTCTGCATACACGCCGACTTATAAAATATGGCAGTTATTACGCTAATAAGCATTTTATCTCCTTCGCTACATTAAAGGTGTGGGTCTAAACTATGCAAGCTTTCTCTACATTCTTAGCATTTGAATGAAGATGACCACCCAATATAATGAATATCCTATCGCCGACAAAAACGTCACAAGATTACGCAAGAAACAGAACTGTAATAATTCATCTATGATCATATTGTGTCTAATAATCAAAGCCTACTCTGCGCATTTTCCCTCAAAATCTGATTATTTAACACCCCCATCAATACATCCGGCCCGTCAAGCCTTTTCATAATAACTTCTACCATCCGCAAACCCTTGCCGTTGGCCAGCTGTGGATCTTTCAACACAGAATCCATATCTTCCCAGGTCTTTATTGTCCATGTCCGTGCTTTATACTCGCCCTCCTGGTCCGCGCCGAACAACTCTGGAGCTTTGAGGTACCGCCACGGAGCAATATCGTTATATGCCTGGTTGCGGCCATGAATACATCGCTCGATGGTGTATCCGTCATTGTTGATCAAGAAGATAATGACATTGAGCCGTTGGTGGATGATAGTACTAAGCTCTTGAACAGTCATTTGGAAACTGCCGTCACCGATGAATAGGATTGTGCGAGGGTTCGATACATCATGGTACTCGCCGGAGGCAACTCGATCTCGCTGCGCGTGGCTTGCTCCTAGTGCAGCTGGAAGCATGTACCCAATAGATAGCCAGGTGGCTGGCTTGAACAGACGGGAATGCGGGGGTAGTATGAAGTCGTTGACGCCGTAGCCTGGTGTTCCGGTCTCACCGAGGACAATGTCTCCAGTACGGAGAAAGGGTGAGAGGCGCTTCCAGAAGCCCCCAGTTTGCGTGACTAGATCGGTAGAAGATACTTCGGGGAGTGCCCTGAGTGATGGGTGGGGAAGATCATGTTTATGCGTCGGTATTTTGGATATATCGAGTTGTTGTGTGAGCTGCTCAATAAAATACCCGACTGGGAGATCGCGAAAGACATCTTTGTTAACCTGGATCGAGTTGGGGCTAAACAGTACGGTTTTGTCGTCCGCTGGCTTTAACAAGTAATTGTAGGTATTGGTGTTGCTGAAATGGGGCCCGAAAACTAGAACTAAATCGCAAGAGTCGACAAAGGCTTTGTATGGAAGCGTACATACTCCATAGACGTTGGGTAGTGTTTCATCAACTAAGCCCTTGCCAAACCCAGAAGTGAATGTTGGCCAGCCTATCGTCTGGACAAAGTGATTGACTCTGTGAAGCATACCGAACGCTCTTGTCTCTCCGTCTACCAGAATTATTGGTTTCTTGGTGCTGTAGATTCTATTAAGGACAGCATTGAGGGCTGCGTCCTCCACCTGTGGCTGGCGCACGGCGCGCGGGATTTGGATATTTGACGACAAGCCCGCTACTGGGACAAGTACAGGCACCATATCAACAGGAATAGCGATACGAACAGGTCGACTGTGTAGCAAACATTGCAGCAGAATGCTGTCAATCTCGGACGGTGCTGTGCGGTGATCATTCAGGCTGGCCTGCGCTACAGTGACATGTTCCTGTATAGCGTCAAAACGCTGATAATCACCATCATTGAAGGTGTGATGGATCAATGCGCGAGACTCCTGCGAGGCGCGCATGGGTGTCCCAACAATATGCACAACTGGGGCTCTCTCTGCATATGCCCCTGCAATGGCATTAATGGCAGACAGCTCTCCAACGCCAAAGGTGGTCACCACCGCGCCAATATCTAAGCTGTCAGCCTCTGTCGACGCAGGAGGGAAGTGAAAAAGAGGAACAGGTACCTTTGATCCGAGAGTACCCATCCGCAGCATAGCCCGCATTTAGCTCGTTGCAATTTCCCACCCATTTGAGTCCCGAAGGCACGACATGATCCAGAAGTGTCAGGTTGTAGTCACCTGGTACTCCAAAGATAGAGTCCACACCCAGTTGGCGAAGACGCTTGAACAGATATTGAGCGAGGGGTAGAGTTTCCCCTTCCATATTTCATTCATCAGGGTCAACTAGACTGTCACTTTACTTGTGTTACTCTCTCTCTCTGGTACTGGTGACGGACTTTTTGTTTATATATGACAGAAGGAGATTTTAATGATTCTATACATGATCATAACCTGGGATTGGCTACACCTACACCATGCCGATATCCGACAAGATGCATGTCGGATTTCGGCGATAGGAAACTTTATCCCCACAGTTCATACTGATTGGCCTAATTCCGAAAGCCGATGCTTCGGAGGCCTTGTCGGATAACATCATTTGGTGTAATCAATATAGAAATATAGACATCTGATAAGAGTCATATGCTGATCTCCAGGACATAAATAAGACAGTACGATGACGAGGAACAACCCAAACAGCAACAAGTACTGTGAACATACACTTGCATCATGACTGTCCAAACGACTACCATGCAGCCGACTGAGCGCCAGCACAGTTCAGGCTCTCTTGACAGCTTTGACCCGATCATGGTAACTCCCGTGATTGGTAACGAGTTTGCCAAAGGAACTTGCAATATTGTTGACGATATCCTACACGCCCCCAATGCAGACCAACGTATTCGTGACTTGGCCATCATGAGTGGGTACTCCCTCTCAAGGAATCTATCACTCAAAACCATGTTGACACTAGCAGTTGCCGAACGAGGCGTTGTTTTCTTCCGCGCCCAGGACAATCTTACGAACGATTTACAGAAAGAGCTGATCCTGCGCATGGGTGAGTTGACCGGCCGCCCATCTACCAACGGCCTGCACATTCACCCGGTCACCAATGATGCACGCGAATTTGGTGACCCGGACCCTCAGATCAGCACCATCAACTCTGAGGGCCGTAAGACTCTCTATAAGGGATCTGATTACACCAAGATGGCGGCAGTCTGGCATAGCGACATCTCGTTCGAGAAGGCTCCCGCGGACTTCTCGAGTCTGCGACTGGTGCAGTTGCCCAAAACGGGGGGCGACACGCTTTGGGCGTCTGGTTATGAGATCTATGATCGCATCAGTAAGCCATACCGGGCTTTCCTGGAGACATTGACAGCCACACATGCAGGTGTCGGCTTTATGAGGTTGGCACAGACAGGGAAGTTCCATTTGTATGAAAAGGAACGGGGGTCCCCCGTCAATATTGGAGGGGATCTGTCGGCTGTTCATCCGGTCGTAAGGACAAACCCAATTACAGGATGGAAATCGATTTTTCCAATCGGTAAGACGCAATCTCAGTGTTGTGTATGCGGATGCTGATTGAGTATCTAGGCTCTTTTCCTACGCAGATCGACGGGTTGACTCGCAGAGAGAGCGCGAACATGCTACAGTGGTTTCATGATATGATCACTCACGGACATGACCTCCAAGTTCGTTTCAAATGGAACAGCCCTAATGACATTGGTAGGTGTCTATGTATCCTATGTTCTACACTGCGAACTGACTGGTCTAGCCATCTGGGACAATCGCAGCGTCTTCCATACCGCGACGGGCGACCATGAAGGATTTGGCCCACGAAGCGGTAACCGGGCTGTGGGGGTGGGCGAGGTCCCGTACTTTGATCCTAGTAGCAGATCGCGCAGAGAGGAATTGGGCATTGAGGGTGACCTTGCTCCCTGTCATTGGTAGTCTTCAACGTGTTCTTGATTTATAAGCTATTCATGTTATTCATCAATTTTTTATGGTTCATTACTCCGCACCTAATTTATCCCAACCAAAGCCAAACACATCCAATGTAGGGAGATTAAGACTTTCGCCGGGCCAAAAGTCTTCCAAGGACACACCTGCAAATGGATTTCCCGTATTGAGTGAAGCCTCTTGCTCGTGAGCCTCTAGAATAGCTGCACTCTGTAGATCGAGTGTGCTCGCCATGGAATCCTTGGAATTCTCAAGGTTGGCGAAATGAGACCCTGAAGATTCTTCCACGCCTGGTGCTGGTTGGCTTGGTATATACGGGTTATGGATCAACGTCTCATCTACAAAGGCCATAGCTCGGTTGATCATATTCTCCAAGTCGTCGCGATATTTCCTGAAGCTGGATTTCCGCTCCGCCATAGCAAATATGGCAGACGAGCAAGCACGGAGATCATTTGCCACGTTCGTTCTCCATAGACGGGGAGATCGAAATAAACAAAAGCTACGACCATGATTAACTCAATCAAATTGGATAGTGAAGACAATACGCACCACATTGTGAGTCCGGCCATATATACCGAATTTACTAAGAGGAAAGAGTACCCTGACAGGCCCTTTTGTTGCGAACGCTTAAACAATTGGCACATTTGGCCCGATACGTGCAAACATGTTCTGATGAGGTCATCCTCTGGATCGAGAATACTCAGAAATGGCTGCAGCAGCGCGCGAACACAATTGTTCCAGTGCATTTGAATAAAGTCATTATCGCCTGGTTGTAAGGGAGGTAAACCCCTCTTGTACTCCTCCAGCGAGGCCAGCAATGGGGGTAATTCCGGTAGCAAAGCAGAGGTGTTTCTGTCTACGCGGTAAATCTTGGTATGAGTGCGGGACATGATCCGTTGCAAATGTACTGTCGCAATGAACCGTCTGATAGCCGGTATATTCGCCCCATGCGTAATATCTGATGACAAGTCACCAATGGTGTGTTCTACCTCAGCATACCTGCTAGTCGGGTCATCAATATCAGCCGGAATCTGTACATCGATTTCGTCCTCTGCTATACTGAATGGCCGTCCGAGGGACCATGCAACATGTCGCTCGATCACATATACGCTCCAAAATAGCCTTCGGCGCAGCTGCGCCTCCAATGGTTTCATTGTCCTGTAGTGTGATTCGCGGTGCATATCCAGGTCGATGCATATCCGCATCGCCATACCGATGTTGTACCACAAGCTTGAGCTAGAGCTCGATCGTAGTTCGTATATGACCATCAACACCCGTCCTTCGATACCCGCAATAGACAGCGATTCTCGCAGAGCACTATCATACTGCATTGCTGTAGCATAATATGCACTCGCCGTAGTCGACTCATACTGTTCAGTGAGCTGTAGCATCGCTGCGCCGATAGCATACACCATGAATAGCTTGAACATTCCGTATTGTTCTAACTGGCCAGCGCCGGGCGCATCGTATCGTTTAGAGTGTAGCTGAAGAATCTCCGCGCAGTTGATAAATGGTTGTCGCGTGTGCATGTTAATGAAGTATGCATCAAGGAGCTGCCTCCCGACCGCATCGTCAGGTGGCACAGCCTTGCCCTGCTCAGCCGTGGGGGCAGGCGATAGTGGTTCATGACGTTCGGTACTATGGATCGGAATCGATCTATTGGTCCAGGCGGCATCCTCAACCATATGACTCAAGTTCTCCGTAAGGGTCACACCGGATGAAGGTCCAAAGTATGCGGTCGCCCTGTTCTTCTCTCTAGGTTCCACCTCGGTCTGTTCTTCAAGCGCACACGGCGTACCCTCTGGCGAGCCAACAGGTTGCTCTCCGCTGGTCGAAGGTAAGCCTTCAGTAATTGCAGAAAGATGCGCTTCTAAAGCCTCAATCCGCTGTGCCAATGCGCCCTTGGACATCCCATGGTGCCAAGATGGAGACATCTCCAAGCGCATGCAAGGTTCATTTGCCGCACTACAGTTGGCGCAGGTGGGATATCCAACACAGCGCTGTTTCCGTCGATGGCAGCGACGACAGGATTTTGGAACTCTCTTCCGGATTCTTGTCGTCTGTTCCATTTGGTATGGCTATTGGTGGTCGTCAAGAGATGTGAAATTCAGGAGAAGGAAATGTCGAGCCAGCTTAATTTCCCCGCATTTCGGGGGTTTAGTGGCAGTGGCGCTAATTTTAGTGTTACTCGTCGCGTTGCTGACCGATCGATTTGAATGCAACCTATACCCCTTGACGACTCTACATAGTATAGTTCATGCCCGTAACGATATCGTCAGTTGATTGCTCATCCCAGAGGCTCGCTAAATGGTCGTACTAAATACTCTTTGGTTGCATTTCGGTTCAGAGAGTTCCGTTCTGGGCACAAGTAACAATAAAAGACTGGTGGGATATCATCAGCGAAGTGACAAATGGCGGGATCAATAAATAATCTACTTTAGCACATTCAACTGGGCCACTTCACCGCCTGTACCGCTTCCTAGTTCAGTAGTGATATGAGGGTATTCAGCCTTATATTCATTGTATATCATCCCCTGTGGAGATGTCTCTTCCATGTTGACAAATCATATTGGCGAGAGTATCAAGATCAAATTGGTAGAATTTTAGTCAACGAACAAATCCACAGACACACTACCATGGGGTATACTTGACCAAGTATGTAATGTACTTTCTCGTTGATAAAAATCACAAGATTATAAAGCAATCTACGGGTAGTTGAAGATACTTAGATGTTTGCTATCACATTGAAGTCCCTTGTATTTCATGCCAATACTAACCCAGCTGGGGTCATGTAAGTTATTAGCCTTCATGAAACAAAATTCCAAGGAGATTATTGAGCCGAGGGCAAAATTTCATTGATTTATCCTTCGGTGAGGGCGGAAACTAGTCACATCAATTGTTTTTAATGGATCTAGGCCAACGCCCTTGTGTACATCTGCCATCAATATCCTTGTGAATAGGCAATGAAGTACTCATTACTTGATGCGTTATGTCTTAAAGTGAAACTGTCAAACATCGCGTAAGAAAGGTCTCTAGAGAGGTCACGCCCATGATCAAGAGTTGATCCAATGATCATCTTAAGATGATCGATAATGAAGGGCAAAAACTGAATGCATGATAACATCGTCTTTGGCAATATTTGAAAGAATATACTAACAACCGTAGCTTTGTTCTATGTTTATGGTACCAGTTAATTTAACCAACTTGTTAAACCTTATATGGCCATAGTCTAGAACAAGTCAGGGACTTCTGGGTAGAGCCCGATAAACCGTTGCCCAGCGCCCCAGCCCGCCTAGACAAAGAAAACAGGCACACATGTATTACGCTATCTAATCCTGAAGTAAACCAGGGGGAAATAAACAGAGATAGATAGTAGCGGGACAAGGAAAACTTCGTGGGAATATAAACAGCCTAGCCTGCTGGAAGATTATTGCGTCAAATCACTGCGATATTCATCTTTCTATATTACAATCAGGCTCCCTGCTTAGTTCAGCGAATATGGCTCGACTTCTGGTCATCATTGTTTCCTATTTAGCAGCTCTGGCTGCTAGTCGACACATCCTTTCACTTGCCGAAAGAGGCAGGTCCATGTTTTGGTCCAAGGAAGAATTGCATGCCCAGTGTCAAGACGTGAGAGTATCACAATTAATTCAACGGTTCTCAAGAGAAGAGCGTTTGAGAGCAAGGTGCAAGTCCAGAAAACAAGCTCCTGCATCGGAGCCGCTTGTAACCTCGAGCATTGACTTGAACGAATGTCTTGGCTGGGACAGGCAGAAGCAAAACTTTACCCCGAGAGCAGGGTAGGTATATAACTCAGCTGTGGCCTGTTATGCTTTTCTCAGGATATGGGTAGTAACTAATGAGCATAGTGGAATGGGGATTAAGGAAGGCGACTGCCATAACTGTCGTTACACCGACTACAGGCAAATCATTGACCCTAATATGCGCAGCTTGCAATGCTGGTGCGAGAACGTAAGAGGGGGTCAAATGATGGAATCTCCGGACTCTATTGCACCTGCAGCTCTTATAAATTTTGACATGGGTAAGCATATCTCCATGGCAGATATAAAACTGCTTTCTAACCAAGACGCGACAGATGGAGTGATAGGAGTTGTCAATGGTGTGTTGAAATGCCATGACAGACTAGGCAAGGTTGTTAACTAGCTGGATTCCTGGCGAATGTCTATTTATTTAGATATGGTTTACTTCGGCAAATGCTCTTGGTGGGATTCTGTCGAATTTAGTTCCATCATAGCAACTACCTAAACTGTTGATACCTGCCGTGTTGTAGCTCCTCAACTTGGAGATATTATTGATGAAAAGTTTCCCGCTTCTATAGCATCGAGGTAAACAGAATACGTTACTAGTAAGAGCAACACATATAACGTAAATCTAGTCATCAAGAGCGAATCAGCTCTTATGGATACTGTACGGAATTTAATACAGAAATCATTCTATGCACTAATGTGCCACACGTCGAATAGCCTTATCCCATTCAATATCACATTCGGCGTTCTAGAAACGGATACATCTCGTAATTTTCACTTCTTGACTCAGTTCAAGACCCAATTACTTAGAATGTTCCACAGCACATGTCTATCTCAAGCAGTAAGGTTCTATTTCGATTGCCGAAGACCGCTGTTTAAGATGCTGACTGACGTCCCGAAGAAGGCTCGTATTTGTTTCAAGCCACAGTACCATGAGCTTGCTACTGCATTCCCTGCTGCAACCTGGTTTACGCGGTTCATTGCTTGACACAGAAGGTAGAATTCCTCAGTATCCTCGCAACGTAGCTCAGACTCCTTATCAGTAGTAGTAAATTCAAATCTAAGATTCATCTCCAATGCGAATGCGAAGATACGCATGGGTGCTACTTGGTATACAGATTTCTGCATGATATCATCGTGCATAAAGCGCAAGCAAATCCCGAATCCAAATGTTCCACTCCGGGTAAGAATGCATGCAAAGACCGAAAAGAGCCGAGAAGAGAAGCGTTCGTATCTAACCTATGCGTAAAGGATATTGTCCACAAGAGGTAGTGGAGGCGGATACCGCGACTATGTGGATAAATCCCAAATAAAAAAAAAAAAAAAAAAAAAAAGGGAGGGCCCGTACGTAATTCCCAGATATCGCTGGCCTGAAGGTAGATTACGCGCCACCGATTGGTGTATATTTGATTCGTCTATATCACGTTATATTGGCAGGGCTCTTTTGATACTAAAAAAGAAAAGTGGAAATAAAAGATCTTTTGTTTATCGACTATCAAGCGGTGTGCTACTAGATGATCCATATTAAGAGGCAGCTACCGCTTGACCATATGCGGCGTACCTTGAAGACAAATAGCATACGGAGCCATGGATGCTGTTGTACCTATCTTGCAGGTAGATATCGGTACACCGCTTCAAGATATGATGCATTATACCATGATTACGGCTACAACGATAAAGTCACATCATGTGGTAAATGTTTCGATGACCACGGGCCCTAACATGCAACAAGGCCGCCATCACAATCATCCTCTAGTCTATAGTTGGCAAATTTTTATGGAGCCGCTCGAGTGAATGAAGAAATTACGGCAGTAGTAGGTGGTATGGATCGACAGCTAGCCGGTTTTAAAATCAATTGGCAGTCATGCATCCATATGGTCCTCTCAGCACAGTCCCAGTAAGTGCCGGAGCCTACTAGAACATTGACCACACACCAAGTTATGTATACGCGTAAGGCTTAACCATCTACCAGTTTACGCCTACCTCGGGCCGATTTCAGAAGTCTTCGGCCTCTACTCGGAAAATGAGAAGTTGGGCGTGATAAATCTGCATCATGCATGTTGCGATTCCGTGATTCTGTAGGGAAATTAGCAGACGCTAGATCGCAAGCACTGACCATGTGAATGAGAGAATTAAGGGGGAGTAATTAATCGTTGGGCAGCAATACGTTATCAAGTTTTTATCGAAACAGTAAGCTGGTGAATGGGTCTAATGCTTAGTTTCTCTCTTTAATGCGTAATGCTATATATCCACAGAGGACAACTCCTCCCGACCTTGAGAATGTATGTGACGCTAGTTCCCTAGGCAATGACGGTTTCAGTAGATCGCACAGACCAAACTAGATGATTCTTTTCCTTTCCACGTGAAACACAAACAGGCTGTTGTTCTAGCTGGTACTATACTCTGTTAGTAGTTGGTAAAGTACCTGCTTCAACTATAGATCATGGCGCATCGGATTTTTCAGGGATAATTTTTTTCCTGGCGCTAGTGATCGTCAGCAGGGAAGAGAAACGAAACCCTGATAAATTAATGGGGCCTGTGCACCGATTTAATATTTTTTCGTAACCATCGGGAATTTTATGTAAATGCAAGTGGTTGGAGATGTAACATGTCACTAGCGCTTTTGTGTGATTGAGATCGTGATAGTGACTCTAACAAAAAGGTCGGTCTGGAGCAGTCCATTGATATTTTTTATTATGTTTTCATTTTAGAATTATGTACATAGAAATTCATTAGGTACAGTGGAAAACCTACTGGTTGATAATGCCAACGACGGCAAATGGAGTAAAGTAGGGTTAGCTTATTTATCGGGGGGACCGGGAAAAAAAATTTGTCCAGTCCACCATCAGATTCTTCCCATGTGATTTATTCCATGGAGACACGTCGGCCAGTCAGCCGGTGATCTGTGCTTCTTTTTCGATGCTTTCTTTTTCCAGCATTGGTAATTCGTCAATTCATCCCCAGCTTGTTTTTTCCCTAGAACCGATATATTTTTGCAGACCACCTGACCTAAATCTACTGGGGCGGGAAAAGATCTAGAAGGTCGACGGGGATATAAAGGTTTGGAAATGTCGGTGCGTGGGCGGATGAGTGGATCTAGGGACCGTTAGTTGCTAAGCTAGCTCTAGTCTGGCTCGCTTACTGCAAGGTAGCCACCGTCCTTGAGGGTAGATATCACTTACCTGCAGAACGGTAACTCGGTTTCCTGGTTCTAGTCCCTGCTCACCCAGGTCGGTGGTACCACTATCAGGGCTGTGAGGAACTATCTAAGAGGGTACAGTCCGCTAGTGCTTATTATCCGATTAGTCGCTGGTGGCAATTGATAAAAGTTGAGTCATAGTTTAATATTTCTCACTCAGTTTGAGACAATGTCACTTGTCTATCCGGGGTCATCTGATCATTCAATCATATTTTGCGAAGCATGTCTATTATTATGGAAATGAAATTGTCAGGAGTGCTATTATATCCGGTTCATTTTCCATAGTGTGCCGGTGGACCGGTTACATCGATAACAGCATATCCTACACATAGTAGCATATGAAAATGTGATGTGAGTATAAATCATAATGTCAATCTACTATGAAACCACAGACATCATTCTATGACAGCCGACAATGGCGTAAAAAGGTCACCAGCTCAACGAAGGTGAAATAAGCTCGGCTCCACTCGTTCCAGAAATAGCATCCCAGCCGCCCGATTACTAAGTGTCTATTCATGGACTTGTTTATTTTGGCGGTAGTAATGATTTTCCTCAAGAAATCGCTTTACATTTACCAATCTTGTCATCTCCTTACCCCCACAGTACCCCATGATGGGAAGAAATATTCCCGTAGGACATTCAAGGTCACATACATGCCGTCCCGGCTCGGCATCACTTCCCCCGCCAATAACGGCATTTCAGTGTTACTATTCAAACCCCTAATTTGGGCCAGGTTGAGTATAGGTCCCTGCATTGGGACGGAATGCACAGTCGTCCCCGGTATATGGGCTTGAGTCGGACTACTAGTGAAGAATGTGTCAGGTTACACCGCATCGACCGATATCCTGCTTTGGCAATAATAAGACCGACAAGAGTATTGATGGAGAAAACAGGGAATACGATAGATAGATTGCCAATCTCTGTTATGCAGTCAGCACCTTGTTCGAGGCAGAGTTTATTATGCGGAAGTTGACAGTGATTCGTAGGTAGTGAGAATAGAAAGAAACAAATCAAGGTAATTTGCATGCCGTGGTTTAGATTCCTAGAACAGATAGCTAATGCAGATTCTCCTTGGAAGACGTTGTCTAACACCTTTCTACGTAATTTACTGGCTAAGTGACTCTTCTGACATCATGGGAGAGTAAGGGTAGAGCCACAGCTGTATGAGAATGCTATACTATAGGACTAAAGGTGAGCTTGGGGTTGGCATTGCGATATCTGGGGCGTCTAGTGTGATATTTCCGGTCAGTCTACTAGTGTATAGTTTTACTGGGCTATGATTACGGTAAACACCGCAATATGATGAACGAAACGATGTAATTGGTCCGCTAATATTAACAACAAATACACAGTAACTATGGAATATGTATGTGGGTCTCACTTCTGTCAATCATGAAAATCATACGGATGTGTGAAACGAATCAGTCGAAGCATGGCTGTTGAATGATGAAGCCGAGTGGGCCCTGATAGCCCAAACACCAAGTAAGGAGCTGTTGCCTGAAACTGTGAGCTCCATGCTGACAGGAACAAACTTTATGCAAATTCAGACCTCTTTGTTCTTCGCATGATTTAGATGAGTAGAGGCCAAGACTGAAACGGTTTCAGTCATGTCAGATAGAAATCCCGCCACGTGAATAGGAAATAGATGAAATAATTTTATTCGACAGCTACTACGTCAATGAACTTAATATCTGTACTGTGTACAGAGTAATGCTCCGTATATCATATGGTAAAAGAACAAGCAATGGTTGGGCAGAAACCAACGGTGGAAGCCTCCGGAATACCCAACCCGGCGCGCCGCTGAGAATCACGGATCTAACAGTGCCCCGTGCATATCCAGAAAACTGATCAGCAGCAAATCCATTAGGCCCGGTTTAGAAACTGATCAACAGGGACGACGCCATCTGCACAGGGGTGGCCAGCCATCGCTGATAGGGGGGAGAGAAGGATTCGTAACCGGCTTTCGGCCATTAACTTGCATCTTGCATTTGATATCCAATCAATTCAATCCTAACCTCACCTC